GAAGATTGTATATTAAACAATGTATGATGAAAGCTTCTGTTTTGATGTGAATATGTGGACCGTCCGTATATATCAGATTTTGAAGTTAGCTGCAACATTCCCCCCCCCCCCCCCCCTTGACAGGACATTCCCCCCTATGTTTCAGTTGGCCACTATGATGTGTTTCAAATTGTACCTTGTGTCTAATTTAATTTAAATTTGTTTCGTGTAACACCCCTATATATTAACATCAGTGCCTTCAAAAAGTGTGGATGCTGTGAGTCCCACTGATTCGTTCTAACTACTCCCAAACATGGGACCAGGTGAGGTCAAAGGTGTCAGGAGGAGACCTTTCATGAGTCAGCATTACGTTATGTAATAAAAAAAATAAGCATGTCACAAGACTTTCTAGAAAATATTTACAGATTTTGAAGATGGGAGGAACAGAATACTAAAATTTAAGAGGTGACTACACACCCAGTTTTCCTTCTGTGCATAGACACAACCACATGTAATATACAGAACCTATTTCTCTTTGAGAGGGAGGGGCCCCAGCACCAATGGCCCTTGCATCCAACTGCCATTGATGAGGTCATCAGAAAGAGGGGAGGCCGCAGCTTTGCACACCCTCATCTTGCCTGAATCCAGCTTATCTGAGAGAAACTTCCCAAGTAACACTTTATATTGAACTTTAGTTGCCATTTGTATTAGGTTTTGATTCTCATAAGCTGCTTTGGGAGGCAATTTTGGACTGACACATAGGATGAAAATAGATTTAAATAAATGCAGGTGCTGAGGATAAGCAAGAGAGAACATTTTTGCCCTCCTCCCCTGCTTTTAAGTTTCTCAGAAGCATTTGATTAGCCACTGTTCCCAACAGGGTACTGGACTAGACAAAGGACCAGAGAAAGGTAAGGTCTGAGCCTTTAAAGTCACAAAACCACTTCCATGATTCTACAGATCTTCTTTGTGGTCTCTGTGCACCACACCTATGGGATCCAGTGTGCCTGCACTGATCCAATCGGTGATGTACAAAGCTGAATGGGATTTTCACGCCCTCGTCCCCAAGCATGCGCAGGAACCCCACCACGCATGCCCAAGGGGCGGGGGGCGGTCATCCTGCGAGTTCTCTTCTGACCACTGCACTGCTAACAGCTCTTCTTCATCAGTCGGTGAGATTTACCTCAGCTACCTTTCTTCGTTTGGACTTTCCTTTTTGTTCTTTCTTAGTCGTTTTTACTATATTAAAAAGAGAGAGAGAGAGAGAAGTTGATTTTTTCTCTCCTCAGTTGGCCTCGGCCTCCCCCCCCCCCGGGACCTCTCTTCGTCCGTTGGTCTTGGTTTATGGCTAAACGTTGGGGATTTTTTAAAAGGAGTTCGAACTGTGGGAGCAAGCTTGCACCTCCAGACGGACACTCTTTGTGTGTCCTCTGTTTGGGGGAGGCCCACCACCTGGATTCCTGTCCTCATTGCAACTCGCGCAGCCATACATGATTACTGGGAATACCATTGCTTTGACCATGTGGACTTTTGTTGGCAGGGTGATGTCTCTACTTTTCATCATGCTGTTTAGGTTCGCCATCACTTTCCTCCCAAGGAGCAGGCGTCTTTTAATTTCATGGCTGCTGTCACAGTCTGCGGTGATCTGGGATCCACGACTTCCCCTTCTATTTGCCAAGGAATGATGGGGCCGGATGCCATGATCTTAGTTTTTTTGATGTTGAGCTTCAAGCCCACTTTTGCGCTCTCCTCTTTCACTCTGAGCAAGAGACTCTTTAGGTCCTCTTCACTTTCTGCCAGTAGAGTGGTATCGTCTGCATATCTGAAGTTGTTGATCTTTTTCCCAGCAATCTTAATTCCCGCTTGTGATTCATCCAGGCCAGCATTTCACATGATGTACTCTGCATATATATTAAATAAGCAAGGTGACAATATACATCCTTGTCGTACTCCTTTTTCTATGCTAAACCAATCTGTTGTTCCATATCCAGGTCTAACTGTCGCTTCTTGACCCTTATACAGGTTTCTCAAAAGACATGTGAGGTGGTCTGGTACTCCCATCTCTTTAAGGACCTGCCATAGTTTGTTGTGATCCACACAGTCAAAGGCTTTAGCATAGTCAATGAAGCAGAAGTAGATGTTTTTCTGGTACTCTCTTGCTTTCTCCATAATCCAGCGAATGTTGGCAATTTGATCTCTAGTTCCTCTACCTCTTTGAAACGCAGCTTCTGTTGTCGTGGGGAGTCAGGCCCGCAGTCGCTCGGCGACAGTCTACCCCTGAAACCACGATTTTCTATACCTGTTTCCTCCTCTTCCCCTACTCACCAAGGTGGTTCACAAGATTGTACGGGAAGAAGCGAACTGCATCTTGATCATGCCTTGGTGGCTGAGACAAGTTTGGTTTCCCTTCCTGCTGCACCTCACCAGTGAACGCCCCACCAATTTCCGTCGGCTCCCGACCTTCTGTTTGCATTGCGTAACCTTTTACATTACCACAATGTTCCACAGTTGAAATTGACAGCCTGGTGAATAACCTCCCTACCTTCTCAAACCTTGTCTCCGAGGTAGTTTTGAACTGTCGTAAATCATCCACTCGAAACTCCTATTCCTACAAGTGGCTGAAGTTCCTTTTGTTCCTTGGACCTACTCATTCTGCTCCCCATTCGGCTGGCCTTAATCGTATCTTTGACTTTATTTTGTCATTGGGTGACTCTGGACTTTCTCACTCCTCGCGAGTTTATTTAGCAGCTGTTTCAGCCCACCACTATTCTGTGAATGGTTATACAGTTTTTTCTCACCCTCTCACTAAACGTTTTTTGAGAGGTCTCCTCTACCTCTATCCTCCAGTTAAAGTTCCCATTCAACTTTGGGACTTCCCCTGAGTGTTACGCCAATTTTGGGACCTCCCCTAGTGTTACACCTTTTGAACCACTGGCCACTTGTGACCTTAAGTTGCTCTCCAGGAAGACAGCCTTCTTAGTGGCGATCACTTCAGCTAGAAGGGTGAGCAAATTCCTTGCCCTTAGACATGATCCTTTGTATCTCCGGGTTTTTGCCTAATGGGGTTCACCTGGCTCCAGATATTCCTTTCCTTCCAAAAGTTGTGTCAGAATTCCATCTGCATTTTGATATCTTCCTCCCACACAACGTCTTCTCCACTCATTAGATGTGAAATGAGCATTGCTTTTTATCTAAAATGAACTCATGATGCTCGCAAGGACCTTTTTGTGTCATATGCCACTCACAGGATAGGCACTAAAATTACTGCTCAAAGGATTTCTAAATGTCTATGTTACTTGCTGGCTAAACGCCCTCTCGTGGGACCTCTGCAAGCTCATTCTGCGAGATCGTTGGCCACTTCTACAGGTTTTCTAAAGGGTGTTCCACTCTGACATTTGCAGTACCACAACTTGGGCTTTCATCAGGCACTACACGTTAGATGTTCGAGCTCAACACCAGTCTACGATGGGTTGCCTGATCTTATCTTCAGCAATGCACTAGTCATCTGCCAGCACCCTCCTCCAGGTGAGCCACTGCTTGCTATTCTCCCATAGGTGTGATGCACAGAGACCACTAAGAAGATAAACAGATTGCTTACCTGTAACTGATGATCTTCGAATGGTCATCTGCGCAGTCACACCCACCCGCCCTTCCTTCCCCACTGCTGTCAGCTCTACTTTGGCTTTCTTAGTGGCACAGCGGTCAGAAGGAACTGGCAGGATGTCCACGCCCCACCCCTTGGGCATGCGTGCTGGGGTTCCTGCGCATGCCTGAGGACGAGTGTGCGAAAATTCCGTTCAGCTTTGATACATCACCTATCAGATCACCACAGGCGCACTGGATCCCATAGGTGTGACTGCACAGATGACCACTCAAAGATCATCAGTTACAGGTAGGCAACCTGTTTTTACTACTGCAACAAAAACCCCATTTCACAGAAAGCAGTCTTGTTAATTTCTTATGTAGATCATTCATAAATCACTCTCCTGCTCAAATGACTATTTCTCAGTGGTAAAGAATATGTTGTACTCGGTGCAGAAATTATCTTCCTTCCTGAGTTGTACTAATCCATGATTCTCTAACTTCAAGTTTAGACTAGGGGTATGCACCCAAAAATTTGGTATTTTTCAGGTTTGGGTATACCAAACCTGAAAAGATATTGGTATATTGGTATATACCAATATTCCTGAATCCCAGTATCAGTATTGCTGAATTTATTCGGCTCCATACCTTCCCTTCCTGAGTTGCGCCGCAGCAGCAAAATGCCTCAGTGAGTGAAGGGAAAGATTTAAAGAGAACGTGGCTTTCCCCCAATCTTTCTCAGCTATGCTGTGATATTTTGGGAAAGATCTCAGTAAAGCTTGGAGGGCTCCTGTGTGTGTGTAGCCATTTCCCCAAGCCCTCTCCCTGAGGTGGCCATTTCCTCCCCCTACCACTGGGGGCTTTTAAAAAAATCGAATATCATTCTGTCGGTCTAATGATCTGGGCACTAGATTATCTGAACTTTCTGTGAGATATCAATTTTTTAAAAAGAAGTTGATAATTTTAAAAATTAAGGCACTATAAGGGAAAAGGCATGTCGCCATAACTAGGAGGCTACAAGCTTATTCTTGTTAAAAAAAACGAAAGCTGGGAATTCAGAGAACCTGATATTCATATTTTTAGATCATTATATCTCTATAACAGAATTTAATTGCTGGCAAAAAAAGAACAAAGGTGTGGGGATGGCTGCTTCTGGGGGATTGGGGTAGGAACCTTCAGGAAAACCTGCCTTCTGAAAATTCCCCTTGCTGCTGTGGTGTATTGGCAGCTCGAGCAGCAGCAAAGAAACCACACAAGCATGTTTCTCTGTGGAGAACACCTCTGCTTTGGATGGTGCTATGAGAAGCTCTTTCCTTCCCCCTCCTTTTTCAAGGCCAATACCGACACTGTTGTATCTTGTTCATGCTACCTCTGACAGCACTGGATATTGTTAACTGAGCTATTAAAAATAAAAGTAAAAATGGTGCATTTTGTTGTAGCCCTGATAATATGGGACTTCTTGACCCAGCGACCAGCGATGGACGAGTTATTTTCTTCTTGCCATGGCAGAAGATGACCATTGCTGGCACCACAGATACTGCCACTGAAGTCACACATCACCCAATTCCTACAGAAGAAGATATCAACTTCATCTTGACAGAAGTGCGCAACTATCTTAGCTGTGATGTTGAAGGTAACATTAATATTACTGGTCCTGACAAGTTTATGATGTTGTTTCTGATACACATAGGTATTTCTGTGAGCCAGTGATGTCTCATTGATGCCGCTTCAGTTGTCCCATCGTACTGTTCTGATGATACGCCATTCATCTAGCTGACTGGTTTGTTATATCTGTAATTTGCCCTTCCTCCAATAAGCTCAGAGTAGCATTTTAGCATTACACAAAACTTAGTAAGGGGAGGTTGGGTTGAAAAATAGATTATCTAGGAAGTATGGGCATCTTCACACATTTTTTCCAGTCACCATCTGAGTTTCTACCTTTGTTCCATCAGTTACTTGCACGGTAAATACGTAAGCTTGGATCCCACCAAAAATTGCTGCTGACTGAAGGTTTCCCTTCAGCACCATGACTTCTCTGCCTCCCTCTTCCTGTTGCAGTCCAAAACATGCTAAACACTCCAGGTGGACAGAATTTCGAACCTATTTGAGCGACTAAGAACTTATGTTGGAGGAAGGCTCCTTGAGGGAACACTGGATCTTTGCCAATACGCCATCTACACTCTATGTATTTACACTCTATGTGGCCACTGTATAAGACAACTTACTGTAGGGATCTGATCAGGTTTTCTGTAACAAAGCCCTTCATCCTAGCCACTAAATCAACTGGATGATAAGCACACCTGCTCTTGTTTTTTTCTGTCTGATATGCTTGCTCAGGGTAACACTCCCAACAGTACTTTTGTCAGATATACAGTTTTACTCTAGATAATTTATCTGGAAACAGCTTCCCCACATAACAAATGTAATTAAGAATTGTATCCCGACCAGTAAGAACGGAATTCTAATTATTGTAATGGTTATATCTAGTAGGAAAATGGCTGGCTCCAGTATGGTGACGAGACCAGCAAAATGGGGTCATTTGTGTATGAGTTAGGGGCTTCCTCATACATGTGGTTTCTGCAGGTGTGCTAAAAATATCCTTGAGTGGTCTGGGACTGATTATTCCTCAGAGGCACAGAATGTTGAGCATTAGGGAGTCACTTAAAAGGGGGAAAGTGTGTGAGGAATTAGCCTGCTCAAGCCTTTGAGAATTTGGAGAAGCTCAAAGCAGAGGTTTTACAAGGTAGGGTGGCATTTCCAGATTGTTTTTTCTTGCTGTGAATATTAAAGAAGAAGAAGAAGAGATTGGATTTATACCCCGCCCTTCATTACCTGAAGGAGTCTCAGAGTGGCTTACAATCTCCTTTCCCTTCCCTTCCCCACAACAGATACCCTGTGAGGTAGGTGAGGTGGAGAGAGCTCTCTTGAGAATTGCCCTTGAGAGAACAGCTCTGAAAGAACTTATGACTGACTCATGGTCACACCAGCAGCTGCATGTGGAAGAGTGGGGAATCAAACCCGTTTCTCCCAGATTAGAGTCCGTGCTCCTAACCACTACACCAAACTGGCTCCCAGTTTATTATCACTAAAAAACCCATATGAAGAGACTTTAAAAAAAAATTGATGGAAACTTTTAAATAGAAAGCAGATATTGAGGACAGAAGGACGCTGTGATCATATTGTGACCCATTTTTCATCGCATGTAGTTTCAATTTTTTTTTGTTTTTAACAATATTTAAACAAAACTGGCCTGCTGTCTTCAGCTTTTAGGGCAAGATATGAATCAATGAAAAAAAAAGTCGTCTCCTCCCTCTCTGCTTCTAGAAACACCAACAAGTAGACCTTTGGGGAACTAAAATGATTTACATGGTTTTATTTATTAATTTATTTATTAAAATATATATGGTTATAAATATAGGGCGTTGAAGAGTCCTGGTGATTGCCCAACCAGATTCAGTGTTAAGAGACGTAAGAAGTTTCAGATTTCATTATCAAGCCTCTGAGTTATCCAGTCCCTTTAAAATTATTCTATAAAAAGCCTTGAACTCTGAGTTGCCCTTTCTAGGTATTGACAGAGGCTGAATATTCATATTCAGAAACCTTCTCTTCACAGACAGAAAATTCTAGATTGCTTGTTTGTTCTTCCTTGAAATGGGTAATTGATAGTTCTGTTGTTGTTGTAGCCGTTAAAGAAAAATGGTCTACAGGAGGAAGAAAAAACCCCCCTATCATTAGGTCCCTCGTGCAGAAATTAATAAAAGAGCTGTTTGTCAGACAGGGTGGATGGTTATACTAAGCTGTGACTCGGAGAATTGATTAGCACGGAATTTTTGCAGGGCAGGTTTGCAAAACTAGTTGTCTTGAGTGTTAAAATGCTTTTGAAAGTAACCAAACTGGGTTGCACACTGTTTTCCACATGTGTAATTAGTCGTGTTTATAGATTGTCTGTTAGAGAATTAACAATTGTGCAGGCCATATCAACTCACTGCAGACCTGCCTTTCTGCTGCCAAAGACAGTGGCAGGGTTATCAACTTACACAGGCTTGGATGTGTTCCAGCTGTTTAATTATAGTGTCACACATGCTGCTTTTTCTAGTTTCATTAATTTATAAATGTAATATGGTATCTTATTTTTGTGATTAGCACTTCATTTTGGTGGGTTAAACGTGCTGGCAGAACAACATTGATTTTTCAGATCTATTCTCTGTTCTTTCGGGATATTTTTACCAAAGCAGTATTGATTTTTTTTTTCTGTTAACACTGTTAGCAGTATCTTTAAACCATATACCCCCCAAAAGCTTCTGTGTAAGGAGTTTTTATCCATTGTATACTAGGGACGTCTCGCACCCCCCCCCCCCCCAATTAGTTTACAGACTTCCTTATGTGTGCTTTGTTTGGGAAGAGTAAATAGTGAAGTATCAACTTTGTGGGAAGAAAAAGAGTGTGAAAATGATAAAGTAGGCCCCTGGGTGGGCTGCTTATTTTTAAAGTGTCACATGAGTTTCTCTGGTAAATGAGCATTGATACTTTCCTGTAATTAAAAAAATAGTTTAGCAGATGTAAACTCTTCTAGTGCAGGAATACTTGGTGTTTTTTTTTAGGGCTATTTGGGTAATTTGGAGTATATAGCTTTGAAACATAGTAAAAGCCTTGAGTGAGTGGAGAGAGATTGGGTGCATTGACATATTGTCATGCCTTTCTAGGAATTACCATAGACTTTTAGCGAGTTCCTAATAGATATGACACCACTTACGGGTTTTCACAGGGCTTTTTTGGTAGAAAAAGGCCAGCAGGAACTCATTAGCATAATAGACCACACCCAACAGCAGAAACTCATTAGCATATTGTGCCACACCCCTGACAGTGCAGTTCATTAGCCTATTAGGCCACACCCCCATCCCGTCCCTTGGCTTGCCTGGCCCTTGGAGGAAAGGGAAGGCACGGGGAGGCATTTAAATGCCTTCCCGATCTTTCCAGGGGGGCCCCTGGCCCACTCACCTTGCAGTTGCCAGGGGGGGGTTGTCACTCTGCAGGCCTTCCCTCTGTAGCCATGCATGTGCAGAGGTTTTAGCTGTAGGCGTGGGTGTGGCCAACTCGGAAGCCAGCTGGAACTCTGTTCCTGTGCGTTCCTGCCCAAAAATAGCCCTGGGTTTTCAGAACGGTTTGAACCAGAGCCCATGGAAGAATAGCAGGATTGTAGGAATGGGTTCCTGTTCAGAACATTCATACTGGAAAGCCATGCAGTTACATGTATTTTAACCCCACTAGTTTAATGAGCCAGGTCTTCTTTTTTAAAAAGTTTTATTTACAAATGGGGAAACAAGAGATTTACAACGAATAAAAAATGAGAATTGAAAAAAGAAATCCAAAATATAAATAATATTACAGTACTATTATTAGCAGGAGGAAAGGCAGCCTGATCTTGGAACCTAAGTGGGGTCAATACTTGGATGGGAGACCACCAAGGAAGCTTCAGCAGAGGAAGGCAATGGCAAACCATCTTTTCTTCTCACTTCTTGAGCATATATGTACACCCATTATATTATTAACATCACCATTTAGCTAATATTCAAGCTAACATTTAGCTCTTTATAAAACACATAAAATAGTTAGGAGAATATTGGTAGCATAAATACTGATCTGTTATGTAAAATACATATTAATTTACAAACCAAAAACAGATTAATAGTTACAATAGAAACTACTTGTAAAAAAAGGTAAAAGGTTAATGTTCAAAAGTTTTGGATTTTAATAGTCTTCAAACCATATCTTTTTTAAAAAAAATCTGCCCTCAAAGGGTAGAATTTTATTTGTTTTTTTCATAACAGACAAACCGAACACAAACGGGGGTATCAAATGCTTATGTGTCCAATAATTGCCTCTTAGATATTCTCTATCTAATACAATATAACGTATCATTATTTTCTATGAGCTCACATGTTTGTACCTTAAAATCAACATCTGTACCTGCTATCTCAATGTTCTAACCTATACTTTGCTCTAGGGATTACATTTTTAGGTTACAATCATTTGCACTATTATACCAATTAAAGAAGCGCCTCCATGTGTTCTGGAATGTATAGTTTGTGGATCCTCTTATCAACAAAGACAATTTATCACTTTCCACTGTTTCCATCAGTTTTTGTATATATTCCTGCTTTTTTGGTACATCTTGTGTCTTCCAGTATTTGACATATAGCATTCTTGCCGCTGTAGTAAAGTAGATAATTAAATATTTGTTGCTTTTTTCAAAGTCTTTAGGTAGTATACTCAGAAGCATTACTTCGGGCGTAAATGGAATTGTACATCCCGATATCTTATTGTACCTGGATTCCAGTTGCATTTTGCACCACCATGATAGACCTTCTGGTATATTCATTACGTTTTTGTTGTCCAGAATATCCTGGTATCTTATTACTTCTTCCCCCACATGTATATTCGGTAAAGTAAAAGCCTCAAGCAGCGCAATAAGTCTAGAGTTTTTGCTGTAAAATCTTTTAAAGATAAAATCCCAAACTTTCAAAAGTGCTGCTCGTAGCCAATGTTGCTTAAAATATTTCTGTGTTAAAGCTTTTTCATACCACAGAAAAGCATGCCACCCTAGTAGTAGATCATGTCCTTCAAGTTCCAGTG